ATCTTGTACTATGAATAACTACTACAAAGACAGCAATATGCAATGTATTAATTATTGTAACTGTCCTACTAACCGTTTTGAAACTGATTGCTACGTCTTTCTCAAGAAAATTAATATTTAAAAAGCAGTAGTGGCGTTTATACCTTTGCAAACTTAGTATCAGGAGGCACAAGGTTGCCTAGTGATTAATAGCCCTAATTGACCACAGGATGTTTTTCTCAAGACTGAGGCAATTTCACTGCTTTAGGCCCTAAAGCCTGGTGCTGCCCTCCCACACATGATCAATTTCCAGCTTCAGGTGCTCCCAGCAGTGAAGTAAAACATTAAGCTTTAAAAGTCACTTTAATGAAAATCCAGAGAATTTTGGTTTAAACAATTTAGCTATTATCTGATACTTGTCAAAGTGCATCTATAAATGCTTTATAATTCATGTTAAGTTGGTGCAAGCTCATGACAAACAGTTTCACTGACAAGGATAACTAGCTTGCAGAGAGGATCATGTTTGAGTAAGATGAGGCAGTGTGGGTGACAATTTTAATGAATCTCTCCCCAAACTCTGAATCTTCAGCAGTGCTAGACACATCTCTCCATACCTACATCCCTCACCCATCAATCTGTTGGCTAAAATTTAAGGGCAATTCTGATTCCCGTGCCTGGCTAGTCAGCTGAGAATCTATTCCTCCTAATATACACTCACAAATATTTTTCTCAATATCATGATTTCTGTGTCAATGCTGCCATGTGAATGTCTGTGTTGTCTCAAAACACATGCGCAGAAATATTACCCATACAGTGATGATAACAGAAGTCGAGCTGTTGGAGGGCAGCGAATGGGGTGTGAACGCAGACCCTTATATGTGGGATCAGGGTTGTTACAGCCCAGACTCGAGAGAGCCTGCTTGCTGCTCCTGCTACAAGGGATACAGGGAGAAGACACCATTTTTATTTTTATTTTTTTATTTTTTAGTTTATTATTTATTTATTTATTTATTTATTTTTATTTTTCAACAAATAATATACTGCATATATTCTTCTTAGTGGTTAATTGCTGTACAAGATGCGGACTTGTGATCCTATTTACAAACTCCATTAGAACAAATCATTCTATTCATTAACAGAATGTAACTATATATCTATCCCAACCACTTTGAATACACAGATACAAAATAGACATTCATCTGTATACCCCATTTTTTCTAAGTTCCGTTATTGAATATTATAGGTGTGTAAACTCAGCAAAATATTCTAAAAGAGTCCAGTAGCCCATAATAGCATTGGGTCTTCTGTTTAACTGGCAATGTCAGAAATTATTGACCTGAGCCCCCCACAGCTCAACTTAACAGCATGGCTTTATTTCTTATAATTTCGTCTTCATACTTTTCTGCTGGATGGTTAAGACCAAGGTAAAGCAGGACCTATGCAGCAAGAGTTGTAGCTATTTGGTCTGAGAAGGTCAGTGGAATGCCCTCAGGATTTGTCCTGAGATCCTGTACCTCAGATTGTAGAACCTTTATCAGTGCAGCCATGTGGATGAGTCACAGCCAATGCTTGGCCAATGTGCTCTCTGTGAAAGCCTGAGAGAGTATCTTCTCCCCATGAAGACACCATTTTTAACCAAGAAAAGTAAGGACTCGCTAAATCCAAATCTACCCGCAGTAGCGTCTTTCCAGCCCCCAGAACAAAGGGAAATACATTTCTTTTGTTTATGAGTCACCATATTTAGAACCTTTCTTATAGCAGCCCAAACTGCCTAACATGATAACACATAATAAAAGCTGTTAAATAAAACTAAAACATAAAAAACTAAAATTTTACTCATAATTATATATACTTTAATAAATAAATTATGTAGTAAAAGCATTCATTAATAAATAATGTAATAAAAGCATTCATATTCTTAAAAGGAAAGAAAAAACTTAAGGATTAAACAACAAAGAAAGGGCAAGGACAAAAGCCAGGAAACATGACAGGGGTAAAGCCCTATGTTTATATGCACAAGATGGTTAAGGCAATAATCCTGAGAATCTTCAGCAGATTTTGAAACTAGCAGTTAATTGGTAGGATTCTCACCCTGACTAACTGATACCTGTGTATATGCTGATACCTGTGAACTAAGCAACTGCAATGTGTAATACTAGGGTCATGCTTGGAATGCCTGTCACTCTGGTCTTCTAAATACGTACTGGTTGTCATGACATACCAATTACTGCCATATTGCCTCTCAATTAAATGTTTGTTTTAAAAAAAGGATAATAAATGAAAACAAAAGACAAGAAAAAATGTCATAGGACTCTCCTGCTACAATGCTGTATATGTTTAGATTTCTAAATTTCTGTATAAAAATATGTAATTGTTTATTTCTATTTTTTAAAATATTTTTCATTTTTTCTTCACATTCTGTAGGGATTTAAAGTTTAACGTTTCGATACTTGATGGAAAATACCTGTTCCATGTTATGTCTAAGATGTTTGATATTCAGACAGATAGTGAGGTTAAGCTCATTTGTCTACATTATAGGGTAATAATATCATTAAGCTTCTCTTCCTCAGGGTTAACAACTTAAGTTTGCCGACCAAATATTAGAGAAAAAGAAGGGCTACAAAGACAGCCAACATTTTGGCACTAGCCCTTGCTGGTCAGTGAGGACTCAAAACATAGGAGAACCTGTACTGTAATATCCTGTAACTCAATTGGGTCACAAATTTTCTGATCAAGGAGATTATGAGGCAACAGAGGAAAGTGATCAATGATGTAGAATGTGCTTAAGTAGAGTCACATGGAGAGAAAACATTTTCTCATGCTTTCACGGAGAGCAAATTGGTGAGGCAATGACCGGGACTCATCCACGTGGCTGACACTGACAAAGGATCTACAAACTACGATACAGGGTTTCAGGATAAATCCTGAGGGGATTTGACTGATCTTGTCAGATACAAAGTTAAATTTCTTGTTTAATAGGTCTTGCTTTATCTTGGTCTTAACTATCCAGCAGAAAAGTATAAAACTGCAGTATAAAAAGTAGAGCCTTATCAATATGCTGAGCTGTAAAAGCCTCAAGTCAACAACTCCTGACATTGCCAATCCTACGTATAATCCACTACTATTATGGACTACTGGACTATATTGGATTATTTTGCTGAATTCATGTAACTACAATATTTAAATGACAATGGAATAATCATCTCTGACAAAACTAAATACAAAAGGGGGATACAAATGAAGGAAAAAGAAGGGCTACAAAGACAAAGAAGGGCTACCTATATATGCAAAATAGTTAGGATAGATATGCAGCTACTTTCTTTTATTTCAGTGAGAAGAAAGATTTGTACTAATAGTGTTTGAACAGGATATCATGTTTGCATCTTGTACTCTGAATAACCACTACAGAGACAATAATATGCAATGTATTAATTATTGAAACTCTCCTATTAATCAGTTTTGAACTGTCTCATTGCTATTTGTTTCTCAATAAAATTAATAAAAAATTCAAATTAAAAAAGCATTCAAAATCTTATAAAATGATAGAATAATTTGAATTCTTACATTTAATAGAATTTTCCATCTGTAAATTAACATCAAGACTATTCTAGCCAAAATCTAAATAAAGACTGTTAAAACACCTTTTGCTAATGAGTCTTTTTCTAATCACTGAAAAACAGTGGCTAATTGAAGCTAAGCTTTTAGACTTAATGCTTGAAACAAAATATGAAAGAATACATAATTGATTTGGTCCTCAAATTATTTTTACAATCATTTCAGTCAAAAGTTGCACAAATAATAATTTTAATCCTTTTATTTTAATACTTTTAGATGAAGTATAAGAAAATAGAGAAAGTATGATTTTGATTCTCTAATTATGTGAACCCTGAACTTATTTTTACTCTTCAGTTCCATTATATAGAATAGAATCCAAGAATACTGCCTCTTTCTTTCATCCCATTAACATAATTAAAGTATAATTCTGATGTAACAGAAATAGTTTAATTTGAATTAATTGAGATTAAAATGTTTTATTAATGTGTATTAATTCAACTTAGTCTATATGAACAAACACAGTACTACAGAAAGCAAGAAGAGTATTTACTTAGAAGGCCATCCTCTCTCCCCCTTCTTAGCATTCCACCTACATACATGCCTTTTTGAGATAAAATAACTTTCCACTCACCAGTGTGGAGGTTTGAGAGGCATCGGCCAAGTCCCCTGGGGTCTCAGGTGTCCTTGTGCTGTTCGGGATTCTGTGAGGGTTCCGGGCTATCGCTTCACACCAGCCCAGCATTTTCTCCTTCCTCTTTTCCCTTTTCAATTTCTGAAATTCTGAAAATAATTTACATTCCCTGAAACACGTCATTTATTTTAGCTGAGTTTTGGAAAATAGACATAATTGAAATTAAATCAATAATTTTATGACATACTAAACATCTTATTTTAATGAGGGATTATGAGTAGGAAGATAATAGATTATTAGTAACACTATGAATACTAGCTTATTAACATTATCCTACAGTCACAAGACACTGAAAACAGTACACATCCTTTAGACAGATCTAATATCTTTTATAGCCCCTTACAACCCTATATCCATCTAAAAGTATCCCTCTACGTGACACTTCTAGATATATGATAGGAGTTAGGAATTTCTTGCTTTGGGATCTAGTGTAGTTTTCAGGGATCTGTTTGCAATAATATCTTCTTACCTCGGGATCTAATAAGAGGCCCAGTTCATTGTAATATCTACATACATGGCTAAAGATCCTGCCACACTTGGGTGAGAGATACGTTTTCACAACAGGGAAATGTTGCAATAAATTAGTGTTGGGCAGTTTCATTGTAGGAACAAACAGAGCTAGATGCTTTAAGTCAATTGCTGAACATGGTCTCCTCACACACTTGAAAGAGGCCACTACTATTGTAACACAGTACCTATTTCATAATTAGTACTTCTTTGTAAATAGTAAGAACATTCAAAACATCAGTGAAAACCATAGCATAGTAAATACATAACCCCGTAATACAATTATTCATTATCAATTATGATGAGCTATACATAAATGTATGCGGTATACTTTTCAATAAGAACACAGTGCGTTTGTTTACACCAGCATCACCATAAACACACACATGAATACACTGTGCTATGATGGCGAGAAAAGTAGGATGCCCATCAGACTTCGTCAGGGCCATGATAACCTGCAGAACCATGTTCTATGTGCAGTCAATCCTTCATAAAACATCATCGTACAGCGTACAGCTGCATGTCCGTGGAAAATAGAATTTGGCACAGATTTTCAGCTGAATTTCTTAGAGAAGCAGAAGAAAAACTAAACATAGGCCAGTGATAGAGTAGCCATTCTAGTAGCGCCATGATTCCCTTTCCCAGAAAGCGCTGCCAAGGGAAGAAGGAGTAATTTTTGTGCAAGTATAGTACATTTAGAATGTGACATCCAGGTCAAGTATAATCTATCAAAAATAATGATTTAAAAACCCTTACTATGCCATGTATAGAAAAAAAATCAACAATTCCTTTTGCCCTTCCAGAAATTTCCATTTGGGGCAAATTTTTCTGTCTGGAGAAGTCATATCATCAAGGACTTTCAACATAATAGAGAAACGTTGTTTTCTTGTAAAGTTTTATGGTCTACTTTTCCACTCCACCAGTCTCAGTAATTAGAAATAGTTTATTGCAGGTCTTTAGTTAAATGCATTACACTGTCAATTAAATATCAAAAATAATGTGGAGTAATTATTTTTTGCAGCATCCAAAGCAATTAGCAATCTGGTGGTTTATAACATTTCAGGGATTTAAAATAGCACATTTTAGAGCACTAAGAAAAGAAGCATAAAGAAAGGTTGCACTGTGGATTGATGTGTTATTACTCTAAATGACAAAATACTCAAGTCAAATGGATCTGAACAATGTAAATAGGAAAATGATTTAAAAAGTTTCATAAAATATAAGTTTGGGATACTGAAGGAAATAGATTTCTTAATAAGATTGGCAATCTTATACAAATACCTGATTCATTTCAGGTGGAGGGAAATGGGGAAGGTATCTTAGAAACAATTGTTTGAATGATAAATTAATTATGCTTGTTCTTGCAAACATAGTGCTTGATGCTTTATTTAAAAATCTTATCTGTTGAATGTGAAATCTGCATGGCCAAATAACTTAGCTCTATAATTTAATCATCAACCTAGTGCTTTAAACAAAATGTTGAATTTACAATTGAATAAAAACATAATAAAGTACCTAAAACAATTAGGATTTTAGCTTCCATTCTGGGAAACATTTGTAATAGCAGCCAAATTTTATTTCCCATTCAGACTGAGAAGTTGTTTGATTTCATTTGTCAGTGTGTTTTTGATGTACAGTGGCAGCGGTGGCTGTGTCATGACTGTTGTAGCTGCGCTCAACAATATCTTGTCTTCTGCTTTGTAAAGCACTCATATTTTAAACTGCATTTGGGAGCATTTTTTTTAACATCATGGCTGTTAAAGAGTGTAGAAATAGAACTTCAGAGTTACAAATGTTGATTGCTGAGCCTCGGCAGACCAACTTTCTCCCTACCCAGGTCTGGAACCCTCATTGTATTCTTAGATGTAAGAATACGCTGTCAGCCAGAAGGGTAGTCAAATTATAAGCATTTGTAATTAACCCTGAAACACTTTAAACTGTAAGTATCATTAGTAATATTTCAGAATGGAAAAGTGGTCATTAAGTATTCATGTTAATTGCCATCTAACCATTGAACCAAGCTAATATCAGCTGCAGCAATGAGAAACTTATATAATGATTACAGGAAATTGAGATTTAACTAAGCTTAATTTTTAATATGCTACTTCAAGCAGATATTTAATTTAATAAATAGGAGCACAGTGAATTCTCCATGGACTAAATTGACAACAAATTAAAATTAGGAAAAAAAAGTGCGAGGCAGTGGGGTGTATCTTATGGAGAATGATTTACATTTACTTCAGGAAACATGTACTGGGCACAGCTTTTGTGCCAGATATTGTGCTTGGAATCACGAGTACAGAAATGGATGTATCCCTGCCTCAGATCAGCAGGGGAAGCAGACAAGCGCACGAACTTCTACACACCGTAGGATGAGAGCCAGGCTAGGAGTACACTGAACTTTATGTAAACTTCAAGAAAAAACATTAACCCTGGCTGTAAAAGAAAGCTGATTTGGGGAGGGGGCCAAAGAGGAAAGTGATCAATGATGTAAAGTATGCCTAAGGAGAGTCACATGGAGAGAAAACATTCTCTTAGCCTTTCACGGGGAACACATTGGCCAAGCAATGGCCGTGACTCATCCACATGGCTGCACTGACAAAGGATCTACAATCTGAGGTACAGGATCTCAGGATAAATCCTGAGGGGATTTCACTGACCTTACCAGATCCAAAAGCTACAAATCTTGTTGCATACGTCTTGCTTTATCTTGGTCATAACCACCCAGCAGAAAAGTATAAAAATGAAATATAAGAAGTAAAGCCATGCTGTTATGTTGAGCTGTAGGGGACTCAGGTCAACACTTTCTGACACTGCCAGTCAAGCAGAAGACCCAATACTATTATGGATTACTAGACTCTTTTAGAATATTTTGCTGAGTTAACACACCTATAATATTTGAATGATAGAACTAAACAAAAAAAGGGGATGCTGATGAATGTCCATTGTGTATCTGTACATTCAAAATGGTTAGAATAGATATACAGTTACATTCTCAATAAATAGAGGAATTTGTTGTAATAGTGTTTGTAAATAGGATATCATGCTGCATCTTGTACAGCAAATAACCACTAGGAAGAGAGTATGCAATGTGTTAATTATTGAAACTGTCCTACCAATCTGATTTGAAACTGTCTCATTGCTATTTGTCTGTCAATAAAATTATGGGAAAAAAATTTAAAAAAGAAATAAAATTACAATTAATTAAGAAAATTGAATTTGTCACTCTTCCAAAGACTTCTGCCACTCCAAACTGTGCTGCACAGTTGCAGGGGACAAGCATTCTCAGCAAAGCCATGCATATGGCACTTCACTACAGAAGTGCTGTTCACATCAAGACCAAGTGCACGGCACGTCTGGACCTGTGCAACTGGGCAGTTCAGCGTGGCTGATTTCTTCCAGAGCAGCTTGCCTATTGATCATACATCAAGCTCAAGTCTAATATAAATTAATCTCAAAATAGGAAATTCCTCTCCCCTTGCTGCAAAATGCAGTTGCCTGACTCTTTAAATATACAGTTCCTCAACTTTGCCTATTCTATGCCACATGAAGTATAGTGTAGTTATGGTGCAGATATATATTTCCTCTCTTAGTCTTATTACATGTAATGACTTACCTTCAAATTTGAGAGTTTACGATGACCTTCATTGGAAGGTTGAAGGGTAGTTGCAATTGGAAAATTTTTGAGATTTGACTGGACTGTGTATTTGTATAGTCAATGAGTTTTTAAGAACTATGTATCAACTACTGGACACATTCCTCACCCCTGGAATACTAATGAAGATTTCAGTGATGAAAGAAACAACTTGAAAACAGAAGAACAATGGAGTGATTAGTGACAGGAAACACATATCTGAGACATAGTATTTGTTCTTTTAAAATACCTGTGTGTGTGTGTGTGTGTGTGTGTGTGTGTGTGTGTGTGTTCTGAACCAATCTACAGATTCAGTGAAATTCTTGGCAGCTATTTTGTAGGCATTCTGTTAAGGATTGTATCTAGAAATCCCTCCAAAGCCCTGTGCATTCATATGTGGGGCTTTTCAGAAGTGGCTGGATCGAGGGTGTGTGAATACTGGTTAAGGGCACCATGACTGCATTAATCCACTGGCTGGTGTAGCATTGTTCTGAGTGTGGTACTGGGAAGCCTTACCTCAGGTGTTGGTGGCATCAACCAATAAGCTTGCAGCTTGACTGGAATATAGAGGGACAGAAGAGAAGATAGGCTTTCTGCTTGTTGCTTCCTACTTTCTGCCTGCCACCCCATGAGCTGTTTCTCTTTTACCATGATGCTCCACCATGCCACACTGCCTTAAAGCCAGCTAAGTAGGTACTAAACATGTACAAACTCTAAGCTTAAATAAAGCTTTCCTCCACTAACTTTGACATTATGCATTTGTAAGAGTACTGAGAAAAGTAACTAAGATACATTGGAAAATTTATTCTCAAAATTTGTTTAGGAAAGCAAAATGTTAAACTAGACAACGCAACACTGAAGTGAGAATACACAGTATCTGGTTTCAAAATTTATTATAAAGTTATAGAAATCAAGAAAATATATTACTAGGAAAATAATACACTGCAC